CTCAATATCTACTAGTATACAGTCATTATGAAGTGTAACTCCTGGGAGGAAAAATCCCCCAAATTATTTCAAAATAGAACTAAAAACTTTTCAAAGGGAAGTAATAAAACAACCCAAAAGTTAACTCACAATCTTGTAATGGTTGATATTGCTATTAGAAGAAAATATAAAATACATCCAAATGTTTATTACACAGTGCTTTTATCTAGCTTATACACTGATTTAAATTTCTTACCTGAAGTTTACAGCTTGACCTATAAAAGCAATCATTTGCCATTAAGTACCTGAACTTAAATAACCCCTGGATGGGTAAGTGTGGTATGATGTGAAATATGATCTTAAGTAATCAGACTTGTTTACTCTTAGCATTTCTCCTGAATTGCATTGTTAAGCAAATTAAGCTTTGCTAAAGGTATCCTTCAACTGCTTCCTGGCAAGTATTTGCATTGAATATTGCCTTTGCTATCATGGTCTCCACTGCTCCCATCAACCAAGAATGTCAGATGTATCTGAAATAAAGACTGGTAATGATTAATAATCTCAGTTTATTATTAAGAAGTATGTAAAATTAATATATCTCAAACTAATGCCACATAAAATTATTATTGATTATAAAAATAAATTTTAAAAAATCAGGGTGTCTTTTTTTTTCTGAGTTGTATAATGATGAGAGTTGATTATGTTCATTCAAATGTGGAAACCACAGCAGAGTTGAATTACTCTGAATAATGAAGAAATAACTCTGAAAAATCTTTTTTAAAAAAAAAATGTTCATTCTGTAGAAACCACAGCAGAGTTGAATTACTCTGAATAATGAAGAAATAACTCTGAAAAATCTTTTTTAAAAAAAATTAATGATGAGTGATTATGTTCATTCAAATGTAGAAACCACAGCAGAGTTGAATTACTCTGAATAATGAAGAAATAACTCTGAAAAATCTTCTTTAAAAAAAAATTAATGTATTTTAAAAGGTACTAATTTAGATAATTAAATATGTGTTTTAAAGTTTTATATTTTCATTATGCAACATCCCTATGAATGATAACCTAATATATAAAGAGCCAGGGTCCATAAAGTCCAAAAAGACAGAAGGCTCAA